ACCTGGGTGCACACTGGCTTGGTAGTCACTGTCCCCCACATTGGAGCAGGTTGCACAAACAGGAGCTGAGAACAAGAGGGAATATCAGTGATTAAGTCATTAACCTGTTCGTTTTACAGATTAGGAAAAGTGAGTTGGTCAGGGTCACTGTGTAATGACAGGTGTGAAGTAACAAGGTCAGTCTTTCTCAGAAAAAGCCTGAATAATTTAACTCGATATTTTCAGAAATGCAGAGGATTTAGACATGAATTTTGGTTCATTTCTAATGTCCGGACCTGCTTCTTGGTTTGCCTTTAAGTTAGATGACAACTTGTCAGATGCAGCGTTTTTTGCAAAGCTTGGCCTGCACATTTACTCCTTTAACGGGAAGTTACTTCGCCTTTGGCCTTAGATGGATGGGTGCTTTGGTTCAAGGGCTTGGCAACAAATCCCAGACCCCTTCCCTTGAAAACGAACCTGCCATGTAGGTAGCAAGTGAAAGGCAATTATAACTTTCACTGTAACGTGACCTTGTCTGTGCACCTGTACCTCTTCTCCTTGGGCGTGTGAGGCAGTCCTGTGTTGTAAGTGTGCTCTCCTTTTCCTTCTCTGCTGCCTCCAGCTATGTGGACTACCCCATCTACGATGTGCTGCAGATGGTGGGCCATGCCAACCGCCCCCTGCAGGACGACGAGGGCCGGTGTGTCATCATGTGTCAGGGCTCCAAAAAGGTCAGTCTTGGAGGCGTGTGACACCTGGACATTCTGAGCCTCAACAGATAATTTTTCTTTTCATAGATGCCTTTAAAAAACCTTTTAGTCTTTTTCAACTTTTGCTCCTTATTTTCACTTGATTTTGATTTGCTTTTTTGCAATACTTTGTCTTTGATTATTTCTTCTTTTTTTTTTTTGGTCTTTTTGAGACAGAGTCTCGCTATGCAGTTCAGGCTGGCCTTGAGCTCACTTTGTAGCCCAGGCTGGTCTCGAACTCCCAAGGATCCTCCCAGCCTCCCGAGTGCTGGGACTACAGGCGTGTGCCACCATGCCCACTTTTTTTTTGGTGTTTTTTTCCCAGTACCGGGAATCGAACTCGTAATCTTGCACTTGCCAGGCAGGCGCTGTGCCACTAAGCTAAATCCCCAGCTGTCTTTGATTATTTCCATCTTTCCCCTGCCTCAATCCATAGGATTTCTTCAAAAAGTTCTTATATGAGCCATTGCCGGTAGAATCTCACCTGGACCACTGTATGCATGACCACTTCAATGCTGAGATTGTCACCAAGACCATCGAGAACAAGCAGGATGCTGTGGACTACCTCACCTGGACCTTTCTGTACCGCCGGATGACGCAGAACCCCAATTACTACAACCTGCAGGGTCGGTGGGCTCCAGAGTGCAGGGTCCCTGGTGGTTCTCTCCGCCCCATTTGGGTGTCTCCCTGACCCACCTGCATGCTTCTTGTCCCCATAGGCATCTCCCATCGCCACTTGTCCGATCACTTGTCAGAGCTAGTGGAGCAGACGCTGAGCGACCTGGAGCAGTCCAAGTGCATCAGCATCGAGGATGAGATGGACGTGGCGCCTCTGAACCTGGGCATGATCGCTGCCTATTACTACATCAACTACACCACCATCGGTGAGCTCAGGCGCAGCGACTGCTGCTCCGCGTCTGCCTGCCTGTCAGTGAGAAGCCTGGTCTTGTGTGGGGGTCTGAAGCCCACTGGCATGACGGGACGGGGCCACAGTGCCCATGTGGGAGCGGATGGTATCGCGGGAGTGCGGGGCAGCCCAGGCAGCTCACATTCATTCCTATGCAGAGCTTTTCAGCATGTCGCTGAACGCCAAGACCAAGGTGCGCGGGCTCATCGAGATCATCTCCAACGCGGCGGAGTATGAGAACATTCCCATCCGGCACCACGAGGACAACCTGCTGCGCCAGGTGAGGCTGTCCGTGGAGCGGGACCTTGGCCCCAGGGCTCCATTCTCATACATCCTTGCACCTCCCCACCTCCCTGCCCCTGGGGAGCCGGGCCGTGTTGGGCTTCACTGGTCTTGGGCAGTGTCCCTGGTTCCTGCACATCACAGCTGTTCCTCCTCATTCAGTTGGCTCAGAAGGTCCCCCACAAGCTGAATAACCCGAAGTTCAATGATCCGCATGTGAAGACCAACCTGCTGCTGCAGGCTCACCTGTCCCGCATGCAGCTGAGTGCCGAGCTGCAGTCAGACACAGAGGAGATTCTCAGCAAGGTAAGGCGGGGTGAGCGGGACATGGTGGGTCAGAGGCAGCTGAGAGGGCTCTGTGTGACCTACCTCCTCTCCGCCCCACCCAGGCAATCCGGCTCATCCAGGCTTGTGTGGATGTGCTCTCTAGCAATGGCTGGCTCAGCCCTGCACTGGCAGCCATGGAGCTGGCTCAGATGGTCACCCAGGCCATGTGGTCCAAGGACTCCTACCTGAAGCAGCTGCCACACTTCACCTCAGAGCATATCAAGCGCTGCACGGATAAGGTGAGCCAGACGGGGCTCATGTGCTGGGTAGGAATGCCCGAGAGCCAGGTGTCCTGGACTGGATGGATAGGGGAGTTGGCAACTGCAGGTTCCATGCTGAGATGCTGACAGGCTGCTGCGTGTGGAGCTGCCTTTTGTAAGGTGATCTGAGAGTGGAGGAAGTGACATTAGTAGCCCTTCGGAGCTGGGTCACTTGCCAGTGTCCTCTCCTGAGCTCTGCCTGCCCCCTGCAGGGAGTGGAGAGCGTCTTCGACATTATGGAGATGGAGGATGAGGAACGAAACGCACTGCTTCAGCTCACGGACAGCCAGATTGCGGATGTGGCCCGCTTCTGCAACCGCTACCCCAACATTGAGCTGTCTTATGAAGTGGTGGAGAAGGACAGCATCCGCAGGTGAGCCTGGGCGCCCGCGGGAACAGTGTGAGGCTGTGCTGAGCACCAGCGGCTGCATCCCTCATGCACTGTCCTGCTTTCCCCACAGCGGTGGGCCAGTTGTGGTGCTGGTGCAGCTGGAGCGAGAGGAGGAGGTCACAGGCCCCGTCATCGCGCCTCTCTTCCCACAGGTACATCCCGGAGCCTGGCTTTCCTGGGGGTTCTTTGGGGCCCATCCACTGGCTAGGTCTCTGGTACATGGTACATTTTCCGTGGTGGGAGAGAATTTGAGTCATAAGGAATTCACAAAGCTGAGAATTAATCTTGGGGCCATGGATTTTTTTTTTTTCTGCTTATTTTTAGATAATTTGTTGTTGGTCTGAGTAACTGTTACAATGCATGTGTCTTGAAATGGCTCCAGGGCTTGGGCTTTCCTAGTTGGTGTTTTGGTTGTTCAGTCTCCTTGGTCAGTTGTACTTTATTGAGCTTCTGGATGGTGATTCTTTATCATCAGAAAGAAAATCTGATCTGCTTAAATGGAGCATTATTGCAGGCTGGCAGCAGAAACCAGATCAACTTCATGTTTAGTACTATAAACCTTTTTCTATAGGGTCTGAGGAAGGAGCGTGTTAGACTGGGACACGTGGGTGTTGGGACAGTGGAGTGGCCTGCAGAGGGGCCTTATCAACAGGCAGGGTTTCAGAGGCCTCCACAGCAGCAGGCTGTGTCCTCAGGCTGTGCTTGGGTCCTCGGCAGCAGGCTCCTGTCCAATGAAGGTTTCCTCCTCTGGCATGTGTGCTTTATACTTAGAAGCTGCCAGGCCCCAAAGGTTCGCTCTCTAGTGGTGAAAAGGACTGAATGACAAGGGACCTTGGGACAAGGAAATGAGCCACAAGCAACAAATGAGTTCACCGTCCTACAGATTAAATCCATTGAGACACCTTTGAGTTTCAGAATCTTAATTGTATCAAGTTGTGTTTCTGGGAGGAACTTTGGGAAGCTTTCTGATCTTTGTTGTCCTGCTTTATAACCATTCTCAGTTGCCTATGGCATTGGGCTTTCTATGCTGAAATATTTTTGTCTTTGGCCACTGCAGAAACGTGAAGAGGGCTGGTGGGTGGTGATTGGAGATGCCAAGTCCAACAGCCTCATCTCTATCAAGCGGCTGACTCTGCAGCAGAAGGCCAAGGTGAGTGTCACCGGCCCTGTAGCTGTCCCAGGTGGGCAGGGTGGTAGTGCGTCCCCTGGCTCTGAGCTGCCCTGACTCCTGCCTGCTTTCTCCAGGTGAAGTTGGACTTCGTGGCCCCAGCCACCGGCGCCCACAATTACACCCTGTACTTCATGAGTGATGCATACATGGGCTGTGACCAGGAGTACAAGTTCAGCGTGGATGTGAAAGAAGCTGAGACAGACAGTGACTCGGACTGAGCCTGAGCCCCAGGCATTGACTCTTGGCTAGAAGCGGGTTGGTCCTGAATCAAGAATGGGTGCAGCCAAGGGACGCCGGTTATGGAGATCATATCGTTGGCCCACGACCTGGCCAGTTGAAGCTGGTGCCATCCCTGCCCCCTCCTCTCTGCCTTTGCAGTGCAAGGCCTGGGTCTGGCATGCACTGGCATCCAGCAGACAAACTGTGTGTTGCATCTGTTGTCAGGCTCTTTGTAGTTCCTTTTGTCAGGCAGTCTAACAAGTGACAACTTGGAGGAACCTTCTGTCCTTTCAGTGATTCCAAATTAAATGTTTCTTAACCTAAGGCATTAGCCAACAAGATGTGTTTTTTAGCCAGGTACTTGCTTATTGAGTATTTGTGGAAGACGGAACTGCCCTTTGGTTAAGCGTCAGCCTGGTGGGGCAGACTGGCACGGGCCTCTCTTGGGTGAGGCTTTCTACCTCAGTACCCATTGTTACCTCCCTCTGGGGTGTATACACCCCAGGTTAGGTGTTCTCAGTGAAGTGCGCCATCTGGATGGGACCCAGTCTTGGTAAAGTCATTTCGTAATCCCACTCTCCAGATCTGTGTCAAGCTCCTGCCTTCTGTTTTTAGGAACACATGTGCACAAAACTGAAAGGTGATTGTGAAGGTAGTTCCCTTAGGCTGGCAGTCTTCAAATGATTTGGTTTCAGGACCCTTTACACTATAAAAATTAAAGACTCCAAGAGCTTTTATTATCTACATTATATAGATACTATGTTAAAAATCAAAACAACTTTGTGTTAGTATCTTTTATGAAAAATAACTTACAAAACAAAAGAATCCAGGGAGAAGAGTGGCCTCTTAACAATTTCGCAGTCACTTTTACGTCTGGCTTGACCTAAGACAGCTGAGTTCTCAGCTGCTTCTACACTGTCTGTTGTATGTGGCTTGAATTGATTTCACAGATAGGGTTGGAAAAGGGAGTTTCTAAGTAGCCTTTTCAGGTAGTAATTGTGGCTGTTCTTGGACACTACTCCCAGACTACACAAGATAGTTGCTTAACAGCAGTGGTGGACTCTAGAACTTTACCTATGCACCTTGTACACTAAACCCTCTGGCCTCAGACTTTGACTCTCTTACCCCAGTGATTCTGTAACACTGCTCATTTGGAAAATGTTGATTCACTGAATTATGTAATCTTCCAAATGTCAATGCATTTCATTATACAAGTCACATCTGTGAATATCACTACCAGGAAAGCTCATCCTAATTTTGGCTTTTAAGTTTTGATTTTATCATTGGCAATCAACACTTACCAGTAAAAGATTTATTCTGTTCATTTTCCAGAAAACGTCAGTCAGAGCCAGGTCTGAATACCATTTGTTCTTTCTAGTAAAAAGGGCACACTGAGAAGAACATAGCTGCCTCAACTCTGACTCCACTGTCCACCTACTTTTCTACTTATCAGTGCAGAAGCATCATGTTCGTTTTCTTAGCATATCAGAAGTGTTCTCAGGCTCAACATTTAATACATTCAATCACTGTGTGTCAAGGACATGGTCAAGGGAAGCTGGCAGCATTCCTACTGTAGGTGTGAGGCAGTTAAAGCCCTGGACTACTAGTCTGTTGTCACTGCCTTGATCACACCAGTGCCACTCCAAACGGGCCTCAGGATGCCAGGGACCTCTGGTTCATGAAACCACTGCCCTAGGTGCTATGCCAGCTGTCTCCAGTCTAAGGACACGACTCTTACAGGGCAGAAAAGTAAGTGAAGGCTGTTCCCTTGGAGACACCCTCACTCCCCAACCATTTGTCAGGAGCCAAGCTGAGACTGAAGAGCTGGTTACACAGGTAACATTCCCACTCTGCTGTTAGCTCCTCTGCAGGGCCTTGGAAGCATCTTTTTCCTACTTACTCTCCACAAGAAAAATGTATGCCGCAGACACTTGTTCTTCAGGGGGCCGTGAGCTCCTGCCTCAATACGTTTTTTGCCTCCATGGAAGAAGCAATCTGTCCCTGCTGAGAAGATACGGCCTGTGGCCAGTAGTAATTCCCTTTTGGGGCTTGTATCTTTCTGGCTTTATTTTCTCATACCCACCCACCCACCCTCAGTTGTTTCCATACAGTAATGGTGCAGGCAGTATTCCAGGGCTTCTAAGGGAAAGCACCGGTGTCCTTTTATTCTACATAAACCTGCACTAAGAAAGAAAAGTTCCTTCAATATTAAATGTCTAAGTGTAAGGATTTATCTAGGAATTGGGAGGGAAGACCTCCTTCAGACAGTGCATGATGGAATTCCTAAAAACTGAGCGTCTCTAATGACAGGACTTTGGAATCGGAGTATTTCCATACAGCTTACAATTTCAGAAAAGACTGAAACACACTCTCCTACATACATATTGCAGTTAAATACTATATTCACTCCCCCGAAGTATAACACCGTGTCCTAGAGCAAACCAGATCTATGGCAGAACAATGCACTGAAGGTCTGAGGCTCTACTGTGGCCCTCACGTCAGAGGGAGGGCGGCCCTGCAGCTCTGCATGTGTGCAGCCAAGTCTGAACGGAAGTAAGCGAAGCTGAATGAAGGTCACAGATGCTTCTCCAGGTCTTCTCAGGCTGGGAAAGTCTTAGGACATCTCTAGGAAGCCACGACATTCCCATTGAGGGGCTCAGGGTCCTTCGGGCCGATGATACTTCCAGAAGGCCACCTCCCCATCATCGCTGCAGGAGGCCAGGAGCCCTGGCTCCTTGGGGTTCCAGGCGACACAGTTGACATCCTGGGAATGGGCCTGGCGCAAGTGAGCGGTCAGGGAAAAGGTGGGCTGCTGTGGATCTGAGCTAGGATCCTCCTCAAACACACGGATGGCATCGTCCCCACAAGCAGTAGCCAGGGCCCCTGTCAGCTGACACCTGGGGGAACACACAGTCAGCGGGTATCTGGGTGGTCCTGCGTTCTCACCCTGGCAATGAGGTTGAGAAATTTTTTCCTCAGTCCCTGACAGGGCTGCAAACCTCTCCTAAGCCTTCAGGTGCTTCCACTTAGTCCTCCCATATAATAACCTGAAATACAGAATTACCCTACCTACAGTCTGGCAGAATATTTCTCACATAGCATAAACAGTGGTCCACCCCTGTTGTGAAGTTTTTTCTCTTTTGCATGCTAAGGATTGAACTCAGGACCTCAAGCACGTTAGGCAAGTGCTCTACCAGTGAGCTACATCCCAGTTCATGAAGTACTAACTTCGAAAACAGCAAGATAATAGGCCAGCTATTGAATTTTAGCATAATTTTTTTTTTTTTTTTGGTCTTTTTGAGACAGGGTCTTGCTATGCAGTTCAGGCTGGCCTTGAGCTCACTTTGTAGCCCAGGCTGGTCTCGAACTCCCAACGATCCTCCTGCCTCAGCCTCCCGAGTGCTGGGACTACAGACGTGTGCCACCATGCCCGGCTTAGCATAATTACTTAAGTCCATTTCTGTTGATTACATAGGTTATTCCCCAAGGTTTGCTAATATAAACAAAGCTTGTATGTGCATCACCTTCTTTCATGGTTTAGGATTGTTTTTCTAAGTCCAGTTCTCAGAGCCAGAACTGCCCTCTGACCTTCTCTCCTGTACAAATGGTGCAGCTTTTCTAGCCTCTGGAAGGATGGCTAGAAACTACAGACCCAGTCAAGAGCCTGGGAGTATACTCAGTGAAAGACCACTTGCCTAGCATGCACAAGGCCCTGCATTTGAGCGTTCCTGCCAGAATGAATATGTAACTCCAGTCATGAACCTGCAGACTTCGTAGTAATTTCAGGATGCTACAGTGCTGTGTGAACCCCAAGGGCCACTGCTGCCCTCACAGGCTGGGATCCTAACTCAGGGGCCGGCCTGGCTACGTCTGTTCCCTGCTCCTGTGAACCTCTGGCTGGGCAGCTCTAAGCCAGCAGGCCGAATAGGCCTGATCTTAAGAAACGGGGTGGCTGCTTTCAGTTCCTAAGGCGGCAGATGGCAGCACAGAGTCATGACATCTCTAAAGTCCCAGATTGCAGTGGGTTTGTGCAAGTCTTACCAAGCGACGTCGTAAATGGTCCTGGAGTGGAAGCCCGACAAAGTGCAGATGCATTTCCAGGTGGGGTCAGAGCCGCTGCATGCCACCCCTACATGACAGACTTCTCTTAGGCCCAAGCCGTGGCCACATCCTGGGCATCTCAGGGGCAAAACTGCACTACTGCTGAGAAAGACCTCGCTTGCATCCCTGCACCTTTTTTTTTCTTGGTACTGGAAACTGAACTCAGGACCTTGCGCTTGCCAGGCAGGCGCTTATGCCACTGAGCTATATCCCCGGCCCTCCACCCTCACTTTTGATCAGCCAGGAGTGCTGGTCTCCAACTCTGTCCCTCTCCTCATTATCTGCCTCACACTGTGGCTCCTTGATCTTCCTAAAACTTCCCTCTTCTGGTGCATGCCGGACCTAACTGGTTAGTCTGCCACTTATGTCCACCCACCAGGTGGCCCAACTCAATTTTCTCCTCCCAAATCCTTTCTATCCTCTGTCCCACCCACATGAACCTCCATCCCTCACATAAGCCTAGGTGTTCCCACCACCAATGCCTGTGCTCTTGCTGCTGGGCTTTCCCTGGACCTTCTCATGTGAAATTCTTTTCCTCGTGTTAACATCCTACATGCTCTTCCAGATTTGGACAAAATGGCTCTGCTCCATGAACCATTCCCTGATTGTTCTAGCACTCCTCACTGGACCCTCTGTGGTCCATGTGACTTCTGACTCCAATTTGCTATGACTCATGGAGGTATCTTAGTAGACTGCAAAGCCCTTAAGCGTCTCTTTTGGCTCTACGACTGGACCCTCACCTTGTTCATTGCCTGGTAGATACTGGCGCCAGATGCGCACGGTACGGTCATCACTGCAGGACGCCAGGCGCTGGCCACTAGGGTCAAAGGCCAAGCTCCACACAGTGGATTCATGGCCCTCGAGGGTTGCAAAGCACACCCAGTCATCTTCTTCTTCCCGGTACAGCTTCACTGTGTCATCATAGCTGGCAGAGGCCAACAGCTAAGGGAGGGGAAGGAGACCCAGCACTCGTCTGTGAAGCCCAGAAAGTACCTGTGGTTCCAATACCTCCCCTACCAGGGCAGGGCAGTCCCAAGAATCTATTTTTATAGAGGAACTCATGTTTTTCAGTCACAGAGATCCCTATAATGCCAGGTTGAGGCAAAACATCAGAAGAAGCCTGGCCAAAAGCTTCCATACCAAACTGCCTTCCACCAAGAGATCTAGTCTGACTCTTACCTCCTGGCTCGGGTGCCAAACCACATGCTTGACATCCTGTGTATGGGAGTTGAGGACACTGACACATTCATACTCATCTTCTTCATCAACTGTGGGAGAAAAAAAGAGCCGACCCTGTCAGGGAGGCAGGAATGTCTTGAGCGCGTTCTCTACCGCATGGAAGGGACCTGGACTCACCTTCCCAGACCCAAACGCTCTTATCTCGGCTGCAGGTAGCCAAAAGGTTGCCAGATGGGGCCCAAGCCACAGACTTGACCTCATTTTCATGGCCCTCAAGAGTAGTCACACACTGAAAAGGGAAGAGAGAGAATTAATGGCGGTTTTGATCCCCAAGACTTAGTCAAAATCCAAGGTCATGATTTGTATAGTGTGAAAAACTAAGTGAAGACTGTAGGCTTCTCACAGGTCCCACCCAAGTGGCCCTGGTTGGCTCATGTTCCTAAACCAAGCCTAAAGGGCAGCACAGGACAACAAACAGGCAAAAATCCTAGTCCCATTCAGCCTGATTACCTCGAAGTCATCCTGGTTCTTCTTCCAAATGCAAGTGGTGGCATCAAAGCTGGCAGAGGCCAGGTAATTCCCACAGGGAGACCACGCCACCTTTCGGACAGTGCGCTGATGGCCTTCGGAAAGGACAGACTTGCAGACCCAGGTGTCACCTACAGGCAGAAGACAGGCTGGGCTCTGGGGCTGGGTTCACAAGAAGGTGCTCCGGTACCATCAGTGCCATTCAATCCTGGGGGCTATAACTGGAGCCCAGCTGGGGGCCAAAGCTCAATTCGTGTATTCAATAACATGCTTTTATGAAGACGTAACCGGCTGCTTCCTCCGGAGGCACCCTTCTAAACCAAACCAGAGGTGGCACCTTCCGGATTTAAAACTCAGTAGCTCCCAAATGCCACCAGATACACTGCGGGCTACTTTCCTACCAGCATCCCCCCGCTTTCCTGCCTCACCAACTGTCCAAACTCCCGCAACAGTAGCAGCCTAGCTTGACGTTTTGTTTGCAGGGCTGTCCAACCCTTCTGCCTCGCAGCTCCTTCCCTCGGCTCTCACACCATGCACTAGTCGAAGCCTCGACGCCAGCTCGCGCAGCTCGGTCAGGCCTTACCCTCGGTACCCCAGATACGGATTCGACGGTCGCCACCGCACGAGGCCAGCAGAGTCCCGGCGGGGTTCCAGGCCAGGAACCAGCAGCGGGAGTCTGGGTGCGCCGGAACACGGCCCAGGAGCACCAGTGAGTCCTTCATGGTGGCCGGCGCAGAGTGAGATGAACAGAGCTAACGCGCGGACTGCAGGTCCCACCGCAAGTCCCGGGTACGCCAGCTCCGGGTTCCCGCGGCAGACAGACTCCCGCTTCCGCCCAAAGCCCGGGTTGATCTGGGAATTGAGGCACCACCTGCTGCGCCGCTCGGATCTCTGGGAGTTGTAGTTTCTCCACTTAGCCCACTACGGGAAGCGCAGCGAGCCCGCCCCAAACTACTAATCCCATAAGGCCCTGCGCAGAGAACCGGCTGCGCGCGCAGGCAGCGGCGCGGGCGGGGCAGGGGGCGGGGAGCCGGAGGAGGCGGAGGCAGAGGAGGAGGAAGCCGGAAGTGCATCGGCCGGGTCGGTCTGGGCGTTGCGGGATTGGGGCCTGGGATCTCTCGGTCCCAGGCAGCCGAGAAGCCCGTGACGGGGCGGAGCGGCGCCATCCCAGCCCTGAGGCCTGCTGACCGGTGAGGAGCAGGGGCGGAAGGAGGAGGGTCTTTTTTCCGCAGGTCGCACCCTAAAGTGCAGGTCCTAGATCTTTGGTCCCGGATCCCCGCGGCCCAGCCGGGTCCTCCGCCCTTCGTCACCCTCTGGCCAAGACCCTGGCTTCAGGTTCTCCCCTCCCCCAGTGGCCAATCCCCAGTGTCTCTGCGACGCCCCATTCTGGTCTGCACAGACCCCACCGGCCCTCCCACTCCTGGCCCTTACCCCGCACCCTTAATTCTGAGCTCCGGTCCCCGCCCCCCTAGTTCCCGCAGTCCTTCGGTCTCTGCTCAGCCCTGGGTCCCACCCGTCACTGTCATCCTCCGCTGTCAGCCCTGACAGCCCCGCGCCGGCACCCAGGGCATTGCTCTCCTTCCCGGGATAGGCAGGTGACCCGCAGCGACCGCACAGCGACGGCGGGCGGCCCCGGACATGTACGCCCCTGGAGGCGCAGGGCTGCCCGGCGGGCGCCGGCGGAGGAGCCCGGGAGGCAGCGCTCTGCCCAAGCAGCCCGAGCGTAGCCTAGCTTCGGCCCTGCCCGGAGCCCTGTCCATCACGGCGTTATGCACTGCCCTCGCCGAACCCGCCTGGCTGCACATCCACGGAGGCACCTGTTCCCGCCAGGAGCTGGGGGTCTCGGACGTGCTGGGCTACGTGCACCCGGACCTGCTGAAAGGTGAGGACTCAGCGCGCCTTCCCTCCGGCCTGGGGGGCGGTGCGGCATGGGGACCTGGCTGAAGCGAAGCTTAGCAGAGACCGGCCCTTGGTTGAAGCAAACGGCCCCTGTCCTGCCTGGTGCTCATGCCCACCAGGTGGCTCTCTTTGGGGTCCGGCCCCTCATTAATTCTGATGTTATTCAGCTAAGCACCTACTCCCCACAGCCATGCTAATCCTGTGTGCTGCTGTTTTAGGATTCTGCCTGCGTTGTGTATGGAGAAGACAAGGGTGCTAGGTGTCACAATCCGTCATCCCCTCCTCAGGAACCTATGGGGTACAGCAAGCTGTGTCAGGACAGATGGAGAGAAAAGAAGTTTTAATACAACTAGGTTTTAGAGGCTATTTTAGGGTTCTAGGGTAATTGGACTTTTATAAGAGAAAGGGGGTGTGGCGTTTTAGGTCATCAGAAGTCAGTGGGTCGCCAGCAGGAGCCCAGGGCCTACAGGAAGGCCTGTCCCAGGAAGCCCCTAGCTCAGCTTCTACTTCCTGTCTCCAGCAGTGAGGGTACACGTTCCGGTGAGAGCAGGACTACACTGTCTGGTTTTGACCCTAAAAATGGTCAGTGGACCCCAAACAGTCCTTAGAGCACAGTTGTCACCCCAAGATCTTTGAGCCACTCTTGATGTTCTTCCTGTTGCCTCGAGTGTCTCTGGCTGTGATGCATTCCAGGTGTGTGCTGCCCCACCCATCAGCACCCTTCCTGCCAGGAGCCTGCCTGCTCATTTACCTCTTGAAGGGTTCAGGCCCGGTGGTGAGAAGGGGACAGCTACCTCTGTGATGACTCCATGTACTACTTCTGCAGGCCTGAGCTGAGATTTTTTTTTTTTTTTTTTTTTTTTTTTGATACCGGGAGTCGAACTCAGGACCTCGCACTTGCTAGGCAAGCACTTGTGTTGCTGAGCTACATCCTCAGCCCTGTGCTGAGAAACCTTAGCTTGTGGCCTCCTGTTGTCTTTGAGCCTTCTCTTCATGCTTTGCTTCTCTCTTGGGTTTTAGAGGCTTTAGGATGGTTCTGTAGAGAACAGGATGGGGGCTTCTGGTTTGTTTCCAGATTCACAATCATGATGCCCTCAGCCCAGTTGGCTATTTAAAACTGAAGTTGTCCACCTGGTGGAGGCCTTGTGGTAATGAAGCCTTTCCCTTGGCACATAGCTGATGGCACAGATGCCTTCAGGATGGAGTGGGTGTGGATGGTTTTCCCCTCAGCATGTTCCCCGCTGCTTGCCTCTTGGAAGCACAGCTGCCAGCTTCCCACCTTCAGCCAGGCCTTTTGTGCTCGATCCCACGGTGTTTCGATGTTTCGGGAGTTCAGTGTCACCTGCAAGCTAGGAGTGAGCTGAGAATGTGTTCTCTCTGCAGCTCACCTTTGGGGTAGAGGGTTCCTAAAAGTCTCATGGTGGAGAGGAGGTGATATGACAGCACATCCTTATTGCAGAGGCTCAGGAAATCATGCCCCTGAAAGGTGAAGCACTCTCCCCAAGACTACCCAGCTTGAGGGGGTGCGTAGCTGAGACTGGCATGCATTTATTGATGCAGATATCAAATTGTTTTTTCCCCCAGTTTCTATGCTTTGTTTCATTTCAACAGTCATAAAGAGTAATCTTATGAGACTGTAATTTGGTGTGCATTTTTTTTTTTTTTTGGTGTGCATTCTTGTCAAAGCCATGTTAAAATAAAAACATTGGTGCACCCTCTCCTCTGTTCCCACGTATTTACCCTTTCTGAGAAAGAACTCAGACCAGATGTCGTCTTTTGTAAAGCGTATTACTTCAGCCTTTATTTGTATTTATTTATTTATTTATTTATTTTTTGCATCTTGAGGCAGGGTCTAGCTATGCAGTTCAGACTGGCCTGAACTGACTCTGTAGCCCAGGCTGGTCTCAAATTCACAATAATCCTCCTGCCTCAACCTCCCAAGTGCTGGGATTCAGGCATGTACCACCATGCCCGGCAACCTTTATATTCTATTTGTTACACGTTTAGAGGGTGTTGGTGTTGGTGAGGTACTGGGGATTGAACTCAAGGCCTTCGCACGGAGCTGTATCCGCAGCCCTTTTTTTATATTTTCATCTTAAGACAGGGTCTATAAGTTGTTAAATTGCCTAGGCTGGGCTTGAACTTGTGATCCTCCTGCCTCAGCCTCCCAGAGTGCTGGGATTGCAGGCATGTGCCACCACACCTGGCTACTGCTTGGAAATCTTAACCCAGGTGTAGTTTCTGCTCACTTGCCCTGGCTGTCTCCTTGGCTGTCACAAACTGGGAACATTTGGTGCCTGTTAACGGGGGAATTGGCCGTGGTCCTTCGGGAGCTGTCATGCGCACTGAGAAATCAGGGGGTCTCTCCCTTCTCTCCATACCTGGTCTTTTGGTCCTACTGCGCCTTCACACCTGTGTTATCCTGTGTGATTGTGACTCTCTGGGCCCAGCAGTTGTGACTTGCAAGCCTGAATATCCCCCATCTCGAGAAGGAGCAGAGCTGTGGGCACAGGTTAACGGTGCTCATAGATCCTCCTGAGGGAGAACAGAGCCTTTCGGGTCTCTACAGGTGACAGGTACCACCTCTCAGCACCTGAGTGCCAGGCATTGGCACCATTCAAGGCACACTGCCTGTCAGCTTGCAGCATCTCCTGAACAGTGTGTGGGGTTGGCCGGTGCTGCTGTCAGCGTGCTTCATGTAGATCTCAGTCACGGAGGTTGGGCGACCTGCCTAGGGACACAGCCAGCCTGGGTGCTTTGACTCCAAAGTCTGCACTCATCGTTACCATGCCTTACTGCTCCCCATGTCTCCTTTTCTTTTATTCAGAGTGGCCTATCTTTTTCTTTTTTTGTGCCGTACTAGGGTACTGGGGTTGAACCCAGGATCTGGTCACTGAACTGCATCCGCAGTCCTTTTAAAAAAATTTTTCTGGGGGACAGAGTCTTGCTAAGCCTGCTGTATTCCTACCTTAGTGACTGGGCTGGGCTTGAACTTGAGATCATTCTGCCTCAGCCTCTTAGTTCTAGCTGAGTTTTTGACACAAACTGTGCTTTTTATCCCATAGTGCCTTGGTGGGTGGTCTTGAGGCAAACAAAGCCACTCATCCTCCCAGCATCACCCACAGAGCCTTGGAGCTTTAGCAAATGCAGACCAGCTCAGAGGATTCTGACCTGAATTCTTCACTTCCCAGAGGCAGCCTGCTTCCTGTACCACTCTTTTGGGTACAGCCCACAATCTGGGCTCAGGTCCAGACCTTTAGTAGCCCTGGGAAGCAGAGCCCCAAATCCTTTCTGCCTCTCAGCATGGCCAGCAAAGGGCGGCTCTGCCAGCACCCTCAGGAAGCCTCTTCGAAGGATGAGGAGGTTGGGATTTGAAGTCAGGTGAATCCTGATTGATGGATGGTAGCCCGTGGAAGCCCGAGGGCCTGCCAGAAAGGGCCCAAGGGTGGTGGCTGATACAGGTCCCTTGAGGCTGGCAGGCACCCCTGGTGTCTGTGGGATGACAAGGCTGGCATAAGAGGGTTCTGTTAGTGGCCTTTGTCACAGTGCTGTCAGGAACCCAAAAAAAGTCACAGTAGGGAGAGGCTGAGCAAGTGGGACAGCACACACGGAGAGGGACAAGGACGACGCACAAGGAATAAGCGGCAGGGAGGGGCCTGCGGCCCACGAAGGTCAGGTGGGGATTAGAGGATGACAGGCAGGTGGACAGGAAGAGCCCAGGCCTGCAAAACAAATCCAGCCGGTGACTCACGGGCGACCTTGGGCAAAGTCAGCTCCTCGGATCCTATTACACAGCAGCTGCCTCCTTCCCTGGGGACTAGGGGGACAGTCAAGCAATGTTTACCCAAGGAAGCAGGCAGGGCACAACTGCAGGATGTGACCTGCTGCGTGTCTGGCCTGAGTGTTGTGGGCCAAAGCACTGTTTCGGATTTAAAGTTGGGACCTTATCTTGTGTGCCCTTTCTCCCACAAATAAAGCCGTACCTGTGTGACCCTGGGGACTTGTGTCTCCCTCCAGCAGTCCTCTGTAAGGAGTGTTCCCTGCCAGACTGATGCCTTGCAAGGGAAGAGAGAAAGATGTTGAGGTCCTGGCCCCAGGAGAGGCTCTGAGCTGGGCGTGCAGCATGTCTGGGGTGACAGCCTGTCTTTCTTGTGTGCTCTGAGATCCCCTGGTGATAGTCCACCTGTGACACGGAGCGAGCTCCTGGGGTATCCAGTAGCATCTCCCAAAAGGACAGTCACATTTTCGGCTTTTCCACTAAACTCGAGGGCTTACTCGAAGCTTCTAGAGAAAGAGAGTTGAAACAAAATCTGGATTTTGTTGTTGTTGGTTTTTTTGTTGTTGTTACCGGAAATCGAACTCAGGACCTTGCACTTGCTAGGCAGGCACTTGTGCCACTGAGTCATATTTCCGGCCCCATGAATCTTGTTGATATTGTTTGTCTGTTTGAAACAAGATCTCTCTATGTGGTTCAGTCTGGCCTTCAACTCACAGTGTGTCTCAGGCTGGCCTCAAACTCATAGCCTCACCCTCCCAAGTGCTGGGATTACAGGTGTGCGCCAGCACACTCAGCAAAACAAAACCTGTTTGAGTCTTGGGTCAAAAGCCCCTTCTGGGTGCCGCACTATCCCCCTGAGGGGTGAGCCTCAGTCTGGCTTTGATGGGTGCCTCCTCTGCCCAACACTGGCAGGAAGTGTCAGTGTAAGAAGGAAAGGTGCTGCCGGGGATGGAGGCACATTCCTGTAATCTTAGCCCTTGGGAGGCTGGGGCAGGAGGATTGCTGCAAGTTCAAACTCAGCCTGGGCTACCTAGAAAGGCCCTGTCTCAAAAAAATAAAGCCAAAGGAAAGATGCCCTGGGGGTGACCGTGGCCCAGCCGAAACAGCTGCTTGCTAGCGGGGCAGTGACAGTCCAGGTGGCTTCCCTTTCACGGGCAGCGTCAGTGCCAGTGGGTCCTCCCCATGCCCCCATGGCGGCTGAGGCAGGAGTTACTGCTTTCAGTGATCCTGAGGCTCAGGCTGAGGGTGGGCAGGGTAACCTGGAGCCTGGGTAGCCCTAGGAGTTGGTGCCAGGGCCAGAGCCTGGCTGATGTCCCGGCCGCTTCCCAAGCTGGACTGTGAGGCCCCAGTGCTACAGAGGCCTGAACACCGCACCAAGCCGGCTTTGCCCAGGAAGTCCTCATGTGAGCGCTTCCCCTCACGGAAGGGCGCAAACCTCTTTTGCTTTTTGTTTGTTTGTTTGTTTTTGTTTTGGAGATTTCACGCTTCCAGCTGGTCCGCCAGTGAGCTCAGCTGCAGGCTGTATGGATGGCACTGCCAGCATTCCCGTTAGCATCTGACCCTGCCCGTACATGCACTGCTTAAGACGTGATTGATTATCTCCGTCAGGGGAGAGAAAGTGGCCGGCTGGTGCCTGGTGATTCCAAGCAGCACAGGGCAGGGTTTGGGGTCACTGTGTGACCTGCAGGAAGTCATTTAACTTCCTAGAGCCTCTGGATCCGCATCTGAGCTGCATGACGGATCTCTTGAGTGGCAGCAAGGATCAGCACTTGACCCATCTCTGCAGCGGCTGTTCCTGCAGGGGTGTGTGAGGCTCTGCCAAAGATGTGTGCCCTTCAGGAGTCCTCTGTGAGGCCTGCCAGCAGATGCACGTCTCTCTTTTTGTTGTTGTTTTATTTTGTTTTGGAAAAGGGTCTCGCTATGTAGTTCAGATTGGCCTTGCTCACTGTGTAGCCCAGGCTGATCTTCAACTTGCACCAACCCTCCTGCCTGAGCCTCCCACGTACTGGGATTACGGGCATGCACCACCATCCCCAGCTTTCTTATTATTAAAATAAATGGTGTGGGCCGGGTGTGGTAGTGCATGCCTTTAATCCCAGCACTCGGGAGGTTGAAGCAGGAGGATCATTGTGAGTTCAAGACCAGCCTGGGCTACAAAAGGAGCTCAAGGCCAGCCTGAACTGCATAGGGAGAACCTGTCTCAAAAAGACAAAAAACGGGCTGGGGATATAACTCAGCAGCACAGATGCCTACCTGGCAAGGGCAAGGTCCTGAATTCAATTCCCGGTACCAAAACAAAGACAAAAAAATAAATATCGTGAAATTTAAGGCCCATAGGAATGTATATAATAGGTGCACATTTTTAAGGATAAGGAAATTGCTGGGTGTGGTGGCAAGCCTGTAATCCCAGCACTTGGGAGGCTGAGGCAGGAGGATCAGTGCAAGTTGAAGATCAGCCTGGGCCACATGGTGAGTTCAAGGACAGCTTGAACTACATAGGGAGACCCTATCTTTTAAAAAAAGAGAAGACCGGGCGTGGTAGCGCATGCCTGTAAATCGCAGCACTTGGGAGGCTGAGGCAGGAGGATCAGTGCAAGTTGAAGATCAGCCTGGGCCACATGGTGAGTTCAAGGACAGCCTGAACTACATAGGGAGACCCTATCTTTTAAAAAAAGAGAAGACCGGGCGTGGTAGCGCATGCCTGTAAATCGCAGCACTTGGGAGGCTGAGGCAGGAGGATCGTTGTGAGTTCAAGACCAACCTGGGCTACAAAGTGAGTTCAAGGTCAACCTGAACTGCATAGTGAGACCCTGTCTCAAAAAAGACAGGATGGTGGGGGAGCCGGGTGTAGTGGCTCATGCCTATAATCCCAGCACTTGGGAACCTGAGGCAGGAGAATTACCATGAGTTCAAAGCCAGCCTGGGCTACAAAGTGAGTTCAAGACCAGCGTTCCAGGCTGTGCTGAGTGGCACAGGCGGTATCTGACACGGCTGCTACAGGCTGCTGTGCTGTCAGCCCTTGCATCTTTACTCCAGCAGTTATTCCAAGAAAGACTAGAAGATTGCATATAACCTGCCTCATCCCTGCCATGTGCCATGCAGCCTCCAGCTTTTAACAATGCCCAGGTATCGACAGCCCTGGCTTCTAGAGTTTTTGCTAAGGGAAAGCCATGGGCTTTGATTCCTTCTGCCCCTGGTGCTGGCTGCAGGCAGGACTCAGGCAGACTAGATTCTCAGGCCCCGAGCAGATGGCCAGCAGACAAGATCATAACAGATAGCTCGAGGACAGCCTGCTGGGTGACCTGGAGCCAGATGGAGGCACACGAGCCTTTGGGCCCAGCCAGCAGCTGTCTGGAGAATTTGTGCTTTGTTTTGTTTTGGTGGTACTGGGAATTGAACCCAGGGACCCATGGCCTTCTCACTGAGCTACATCCGCAGCCCGTTTTAAATTCTTTTTTTTTTTTTTTTTAATTTAGATACATGCAAGGAAGTGCTCTGCCCCAGAGCCTAGCCCCAGCCCCAGCATCTTAATTCATTAAATCCCTTGTTGTAGTTACACATTTGTCTAAACTGTTTGAAAGTTTTCCTTCTTCCCTAAGTTTTTTTTTTACTATAACACATATTAACATAAAGTTTACCATGATAAGCCACATATGGTGGCAAATGCCTGTAATCCCAGGACTTGGGAGGCTGAGGCTGGAAGATTGCCCCAAGTATGAAATAGTGAGTTCAAAGCCAGCCTGAACAATGTAGCAAGACCCTGTGTCAAAAAACTTTATTTTTTGTCTTTTTGAGACAGGGTCACGCTATGCAGTTCAGGCTGGCCTTGAGCTCACTTTGTAGCCCAGACTGGTTTTGAACTCACAGCAGTCTTCCTGCTTCAGCCTTCTGAGTGCTGGGATTAAAGGCGTGTGCCACCATGCCCAGCTCAAAAAAAAAAAATACCATATGACCAATGACACCATCCAGCTCGGCATCATGAAGTATTTTTACATTGTTGTACAACTATCACCATCATCATCGTCATCATTCTGTCTAGAATTTTTCCATCACCCCAAACAGAAACTCTGTACACAGAGTAATAACCCCATGGTAATATCAGGGTAAAGCTGTCCACTTTCTGTCTCTGTCGCCTCCTCAATACTTCTAGGTATCTCATCTGAGTGGAGCCAGGCTGTGTTTGGCCTCTTTTATTTAGTGTAGTATCCTCAGCTTCTTTGGGGAACAGAAAGGGAATGAATGAGTTGAGGAAAGGAGGAGGGACATGAATTGGCCTCTGGCCTTTGCTGGTCTGGGAGTCTCTGCTCAAAAGTCAGTGGGGTTTCCTTGGCGCCTGTGAGCATCCTTCCGCAAAACGGATTAGCATGCAGGGTGACCGATTGTCAGCATCTTTGAGAATGGCTGGGAGAGCTTGGCAGACAGTGGAACAGGATCCTATGCGCAGACTTATCTCATTGAAAGAGGAGGACAGGAGGTGCATGGGAGAGCAGTGACCCCAGATTCCCTACTGCTAGTGTGGAAGTTGTGCCCACTCCTTTGCAGACCAGCTGGGTCCCCCCTCTGCCCAGGACAGTGGCAGAGGGGTCAAGCTTTAGGCAGGGCCCACACCAGGCTGTTACCTGCAGCTCTGAGCTTTGGTTGTCCCTCATCCCCCCAGATTTCTGCATGAATCCCCAGACAGTGCTGCTCCTGCGGGTCATTGCTGCCTTCTGCTTCCTGGGCATCCTATGTAGTCTCTCCGCATTCCTTCTGGACGTCTTTGGGCCCAAGCACCCAGCCCTGAAGATCACCCGCCGCTATGCCTTCGCCCACATCCTCACAGGTGAGTCCTGGCTGCTTGTGTGGGGAAGGAGCTGCTTTGGGGTAGGGCGTTCTGGGGAGGCTGGGGGTGTGAAAGTCATCTGTGAGCACACGCGTGCCAGGTGCTTGTGCGACACGTCCACCCCTTCGCAGCACATCAGGCACATTTGCAGTTTGGCTCAGTCGTTTGCACATACCCTCACAGGGTCACAGTCCTGCTGAGCCCAGCTGCAGAGGGAGGGAATGTTGTTCAGTTCAGCCGGAATTTCACAGCTCTCACAAGGTGGCATTTGAAGCCCACTGGGGCTCCAGGTTTGGACTGAGCAGGGAAGGAAGCAGGCTGTCTTCCTGGAGTGCATGGTCGGGTCATTCCCTGTCCCCCTCCTGGCAGCCTGCACACCAACCTCCACGCTTGTGCGCGGCTGCTTTCTTCCCTCGTGACCAGGCTGGTGTGTCACTTTGATGTGTGATGCTGGCCACCTCCAGGTCCCAAACTGCAGGACCTTATCTATTCCTTAAGTACCCATTGACATCCGGTGCCCTAATGTACCAGTTACAGTTTGTTTTTTATGATACTGAGGATTGAATCCAGAGCCTTTGCACCGAGCTATATCGCCAACCCTTTTTTATTTTATATTTTGAGACAGTTTCTGCTAAGTTGCCCGGGCTGGGCTTGAACTTGCCCTCCTCCTGGCTCACCTTCCCAGGGTGCTGGGATGACAGGCATGCGCCACCGTGGCTTGCTCCCACTGCACATCCTTAAGGCCGAGCGAACCTGTCTGTCTCGGGTCGGACAGCTGTCTCCACCTTAGCCCAAGCATCCCCTGGCCCAGCGAGGGCCTCCTTGCAGGGACTGGGGTCAGGCAAGTTTCTGAGAATTGGGTGAGAGCTTGATTGGTTCTTCAAGCATCTTGGCTGCAGGGTGCCTACTAATTTCCTGTGTGCTGCCCCTCTGCCCCCTAGTCCTGCAGTGTGCCACCGTCATCGGCTTCTCTTACTGGGCTTCTGAACTCATCCTGGCCCAGCAGCAGCAACATAAAAAATACCACGGCTCCCAGGTCTACGTCACCTTTGCCGTCAGCTTCTACCTGGTCGCAGGCGCTGGCGGAGCCTCCATCCTGGCCACCGCGGCCAACCTCCTGCGCCACTACCCCACAGAGGAGGAGGAGCAGGCGCTGGAGCTGCTGTCGGAGATGGAGGAGAACGAGCCCTACCCAGCCGAGTACGAGGTCATCAACCAGTTCCAGCCGCCCCCTGCCTACACGCCCTAGTGGAAGCCGGGGCTTCCTTCGGTGGCCCCTCCCACCCAGAGGTGGCTTCCCAGCAGTCCTCACCGGTAGGACCCAGTCATCTTCATCAAACCCTCCCCGGGAGAGACTGCCTAGGGTTGTCCCCGCATCCCTGCTCCCGGAAGCTGGGATCCAGCAGTTTTACATAAAGCACTCTTCTCCCTGCCGCCCTCTGCCCCCTTCCTGCTCCTGAGTCACTACCAACCAGGGATGGGCCATATCTTTGGGACCGGGACTTTGCTTGGGGAGCTGCTGAGAGTGGACAGTCCCAGAGAGAAGGGTCACCAGGTCGGTGTGTGTCCCACAGCTGTGGCCCTGCACCCACCCCCTCCTTCCCTCTCCAAGTGCCCGGTCCCAGGCTGCCCACTCCGGGGATTCTCTGCACTTTAGTCTTTGGCCTTCTCCCTGCCAGTGTTCCGGTCCGAAGGGGAGCAGAGCAGTTGCTCTCCCCGCCCTGCCCTGGCTTTGAGTGGCTGGTGCCAGGCAAGGGGAGCGGAGCTGGGCAGGAGACCGAGGCCTCCTGGTGCCTACATCGGATTAGCATGAAGGGGACTCAGTCTCCCAGCCCCTTCACCTTTTAAAATGTGAGTGGTTTTAAAAGGAAAAACAAAACCAAGCAACAGCAAGCATATTCTCTTTTTAAAATAGGCTGTTGTTGTTTTTCAGAAATGTATCCCATCCCTTGGGCTCTGCAATATTTGGGACCACAGTTCCTCTCGAGCCCGTGGTCCCCTCTTCCAGGTCTCCCCATGCAGAACGCAGCCTCTGTCCCCCGGCTCCTTCCTGCCCAGCCCCTCTGGCTCCCTGGGGCCTCCCTGTGGAACCAGAGCCGTGCGGTCCCCGGGGGCTGAGGACCATGGCCTGGCTGGCCGGCCAGTGTGGTGCTCCTCAGGACTGCGGCTCTGAGACGTAGCCTGGCCTCAGCTCAGGAATGGGGACCACAGCAGGGCCGGACCCTCCCCTGTCCACATAGGAAGTCCAGCCAGCGGAGCCCCCACATGTTGGGGTCAGACTAGCAGGCCCAGCTGTCCCTAGCCTGCACCTTGGGGCCACAGCCTGCTGCATGCCTCTCTCCCCTTCCTGAATGTCCTCTGGCCCGGGGTGTGCTCCTGGCTCCTTCTTACCCAGCTCTTGCTCTGGTTACACCATTTGCTGTGGGTCCAGCTGAATTTTCTGCCCCAAGACCTGGGGCATAAAGTAAGCAAAATTCAAGAGATCTTCAGTGTGGATCCAGAGGCCAAATTGTCCTCGCCCAGTTCCTGGCTTCTCTGGATCTGTGTTCAGCGCTGACCTGAGCGGAGGCCCGCTCCAGTCTCCTCCCACCTGCAAGGGCACAGGCACTTGCACAGGAGCGGAGACTGGGTCTGTGGTGTCCCGATCGGCCTTGTGCTGGGTTGACCAAGGATGTCCGGACAGATGCCTGTGCGGAGACCACGTCTGCATGTGAGCGAGCGGCTGCCTGGAGTTCACCGCTTGATGCCAAAGTGTGCCCCGGCGTGACCCCCACTCCTACAGACCCTTCTCTTAGGCAGGAAAGGCTGCCGGATGATACCTGAGCACAAAGCCAAGGAGCCGAATTACATCTTTCTGTAAAGTCTCGAGTCCATCATTGGCACCCCGGATGTCTGAGCGGGCACCCAACACGCATGCCAAAGGGAACGGTCGCTCACGAGGACCTGCACATGCCCCCGAAGACCGTGCCACGTGATTCAGAACCCTCTTTTTACTAGATTCCCACGCCTCCCACCTCTCTCTCCCCCTGCCTTCCCAACATCACTAGTTTGTCACATAAATCCCCCTGGTTGTGTGTTTCTTTTCTAGGAAAAACAATTAAAAAGCAAAACAATGAAAAACCCGAAACTACAAATAATGTCAGTGCCAATGGCTGCCTGTCATTTTTCTGTCACAATTTTCCCAGTTTGGTTTGTCCGCTTCCTCTGAGAGAAGCAGGAGACATCCATGAGGCTGTCATTGACAGCAAAGTCAGAAGGGATTTGGCTTGTCCTGCACGGGGACTTTTTCACTTCCAGGAGCCTCCTCAACCGACGGCTTCCACGCAGGAAGTTTCCAGGCCAGACGGAGAAGGAGACGGCCCCACCCAAGCCCTCCACGTCCGTCCGTGTCCCCTGGCTGGCTGCGCAAGAGAGCAGCCTGCGAACGCCGGCCCTCTGTGGGGAGGCCCCGCGGCTTGCGGAAGGACCCCCGTTTTTGAAACCATGGCACGTGATCCTGGGGAGGCCTGAAAGGAGAAATAAGCCTGAGAGGAAAAGTGGTCTGGGAGCCTGAGGCTGGACCGTGCCGGTTTCCATGGTTACCCAAGGTCTCATTCATTGGCCCAGTTGCAAGGCCCCAGGCGTACAGCACAGTAGAAGAGCTTTGGCCTCCGGGAGCCCATTTAGGTGGTGGTTTTGTTTTTTTTAATTTCTGAGAGTTACAACTTCCTCAGGAGCTGCGAGTGTGTTCTCCACTTCTTTTCGGACGTCTGAAGGGTCCCTGGGTTAGACCATCGGGCCCTGTGAGAGAGAAACTGGCTGGCAGGACCCTGTGGGATTTTACGTCCTTAGCCCATGAGATGATGGCCTCCTCTGCAGGAAGGCAGATGAAGTGTCCCCTGGACACCCAGGACCAGTACTGTACCAAAGCGCCGGTGCCCCGAGGGATTAGCAAGGCTTCCGGCAGGAGGCTGGAGCCCCGCTTGATGTGGGGGGAGCAGTTTGGGGAGGTGGCGTTCCCATCAAAGGAGGGCACGCTGGTGGCCAGGATACAGCAAGATGTGAGCTGACACCCAGCTGGGGCACTAAAGCGCGGGCACCCCGGGGCGCTGAGAAGGGAAGGAGGCAGCTTGCTCTCAGCAAAGGCGTCTGAGGACAGGGAAGTGGGGACACACGGGGCGGGGTGGAAGGACTGAAACTGGTAGAAGGGAAGAGAGCAGCCTGAGCCAGGTGCTAGGAGGGCTGGGACAGCACTGTCCCCGCTGAGCCATGGATGAGGAAGGAGGCTGAGGCATGGGAGGGGCAGTGATGGGGGCCTGTCAGGACGCAGGAAGTGGGCGGTTACCCTGGGGAGGGCCAGGGCTCCCCAGACGACCTGAGCACCTTCAGCTGGCATCTCACCCACAGTGGTCCACCCTCCAGGCCACTGCATGAAAGGGGACACAAAGTTGGGGAGGTGGAGGGCAAAAAGGAACCAATAAACAATGGCCCTTACTGTCAAATATCCTCCAGTCTTTCCCTGTGAATTTCTTGTGGCGTGGGCTGTGCGTGGGAGAAAAGGCCTCCTTTTTGCATGGGTCCACCCGAAGTGAAGGCTCTCTGTTAGGGACAGCGGCTTGGGAATCAAGATGTCATTCCTCGCTGTGGGATTGGGGAAAGGGCAGTTTGCTCAGCACAGATTTTACTCGTCCCAGTGCTCAGGGGTTGTGGTGCCCTGGCCCGCCCATTCAGCCAGGCAGCATGGTGGGTGGTCACGGACTCTCGGGCCCACCTAGCCGTGTCGTAGGAGTTAGGGAATTCGGGAACTCTGAGAGACAACTGTCATGCACCTTGTTTCAGGGCTTTTCGGGGCCTGTGAGGGGAGAGCTCAGTGCAGAACCTACACTGCTGTTCAGAAGGTTCCTGTCCTTGTCCTTATAGAAAATGGCAACTGGCCTTTTAAAGAGCCATCCCAGCCAGGCATGGTGGGGCACGCCTGTAATTCCAGCACTCAGGAGGCTGAGGCAGGAGGATTGTTGGGAGTCCAAGACCAGCCTGAGCTACAAAGTGAGCTCAAGACCAGCTAGAACCGCATAGCTGTTCAAAAAGACACCCCCCCCCCCAAAAAAGCCACCTCTTTCTGGGTGTGTAGATTGTGTAAACAGGTGTTCTCTGTTCCCCCTCTGTCTTGGGGGTCTGTCACCTGAATTTGTAATGGCCCCACTACTGAAGGAGAATTTCCCTCTAGAATAACCTTGGGTTAGTGGATAGGGTTTTCTATTTTTTGTTTCTGTTTTTTTGAGACAGGGTCTTACTGTGTAGTTCAGGCCAGCTTTGAACTCACTATGAAGCCCAGGCTGGTCTTGAACTCACGGATCCTCCTGCCTCAGCCTTCTGAGTACTGGGATGACAGGTGTAAGCCACTACCCCAACGGTTTGTTTTTATAGGGGGAGTGTGCCTTATTTTTTACCACCTCTGGTTCATCATCCCTGGGTGAAGGGAAACCAGCACACGTGCATGAGCACACACAATTTCCATTATGCCGACAGGCCTGAGTCACTCTTGTTCATAGGCCCACTGGGCCCTTGTTCCTGTGTTCACTGGACCACAGGATCACGGTTTTTATGCCATAATCATTCATACACTGACCCCAGTAGTCCTTGTGGAGGAGGCAAACGGAACACTTCAGTCCTTGCCCTCTAGGGCTTTCCCCGACAGCTTTGGGAAGAGACCCTGTAAGGCCAAAACCTGCAGTCGAGGAAGCTTCCTGAACCCTGAAGAACAGGTGAGCTTTGGTGAGAGTGTGGTGAGGTCGACGTGGCAGTAGGGAGGACGGGTGGCTCTGGGGAGCCCTGAGCTGGCTCCTTAGCCGTGGTGACGCGCACCAGACAGCAGCGGCAGGTGTTAGGTGGCTGGACCTCGGGCTGGAGCACCAAGGTTCCCGCCAGCACACAGCAGCCTCAAGACCAGAGCTTCGGCTCGCTCTCATTTATTTATTTATTTTTGGTCTTTTTGAGACAGGGTCTTGCTATGCAGTTCATGCTGGCCTTGAGTTCGCTTTGTAGCCCAGGCTGGTCTCGAACTTGCAACGATCCTCCTGCCTCAGCCTCCTGAGTGCTGGAATTACAGATGTGCGCCACCACGCCCGGCTATTTTTTAAATTTTGAGGCAGGGTCTCACTAAGTTCCTCAGGTGGGACTCAAATTTGAGATCCTCCTGCTTCAGCCTCTTAATGCTGGGATTACAGCCAGGATACCTGACTGTCATATTTACTGTTTTTTGTTTGTTTGTTTGTTTTGGTGTGTGTGTGTGTGTATGTGTGTGTGTATGTGTGTGTGACACCCAGCACTTTATTGCAGGGAACTCATTTGGTCTGGGAGAGTGGAGGCGGGGTGGGCAGGGCCGGTGCCATTTCGGGGGTTACGGGGAATCGAATGTTGCTCTACGCAGGTTGAGAGCAAACATCTTCATGGATGAACCCCCGGAGGGCAGTTAGCCCCCGCCAGGCCAGGATGGGAGGGGAGGGGGCCCTACGCCGGGCCGGGGCCGCGGACAGCAGGGCCTCGATGTCGGGCTCGATGTCGATGGTGGGGAAGCGCCGGCTGTACCTGCGCACCGGCACGCCGTCGGGGCCCACCAGGAACTTCTCGAAATTCCAGGCCACGTCGTTGTGGCACACCGGGGACCAGATGATGGACCTGGGGTCGCTCACGAGCGCGGTGGGGTCGTCGCTGGGCGCCAGGAGGGCCTCCCGCAGGAGGGCGAAGAGCGGGTGCGCCTTCGCCCCGTTCACCTCGCACTTCTCGAAGAGAGTGAAGTTGGGCTCGAACCCACCGCCGGACCGGACGTACTTGAGCAAGCGCAGGATCTCCTCTTTCTTGGCGTTCTCCTGGTGTCCGAACTGGTTGCACGGGAAGCCGAGCACCACCAGGCCGCGGGGCCCGAGGCGCGCCTGCAGGTCGTTCATCTGGGTGAAGTCCCGCGCCGTGGTGCCTCAGAGGGACGCCACGTTCGCGATGAGCAGCACCTTGCTGCGCAGGGACTCGAGGGCCAGCGGCCCCCCGCCGGCCAGCGGGCGCGCGGAGAAGGGGTACACCGTGGCCGAGGCGGCCACGGCCAGCCAAGGGGCACACATGGCCAGACGGAGCAGCGCGATCGCGGGCTGTCATATTTACTGTTAAAATACAATTCCCATCCCATGAAATCTACCCTTGTCAATGTTAGGTTTTCTGCACAGAAAGGAACCAAAGAAAAGAAAGAAGGCCTTTACTAGGGACATGGAGAAGAGAAGGCAGCATACGATTCTGGACTCCTCTGGGGGTAGACAGGGACCTGGGGGTTCATAAAGACTCTGGCTAGCGGGGGAGCTTAAGGGGCGGGTTAGTGACGTATCAGGATCTGATTGGGGGTTTCTTCACAGCGCGTGCAGGGCAAGAGGAAGTTGTACTCCGGGCTGAGGGGAGGAAAAAGGGTGGGGGATGGTCACTGGGAAGGTAAGCTTTTGTGGGGGCTTCAGCCATGTTAGACCACCACCACCATAATAATTCAGCAGTTCACACCCAGCCAGGAACCTATCAGTCAATGTAGTTATTTACAAATTTGAAAGGTACAATTATCACCACTACCCAATTCTGAAACGTTTTTATCAGCCCAAAAAGAAGGTGTACCATCAACATATCCTCCTTATTCCTACCGTCCTTCTATACCTGGGGATCACCAGTCTTTATTCTCTCATATATTTGCCAATTCTGGGCATTTCATATAAATAGAATTGTATAATATTTAGCCTTTGGGGTTTGGCCTATTTACTTAACCAAACTTTCTTGAGGCTTGTCAAATGTTGCAACATACATCAGTGTATCATTCTTTTTTATGGCTGAGTAATATTCCACTGTGTGGCTGTACATTTTGTTTAGCCACTCATGAGATGGACATTTGCACTGTTTCTCTTTTTTTTTTTGGTTTTTCTCCGGTACCGGGAACCGAACTCACGACCTTGCGCTTGCCAGGCAGGTGCTTTTGCACTGTTTCTCTATGAATGTTGCTATCATGAACGTCTGTGTACGTTTTTGTGTTTTTAATTTCTTTTAAATATACACACAGAAGTGCAGTTACTAGGTCATGGTAGCTTTGTCTAATGGCTCCAAGAACTACAAAAGAGTGTTTACCAAAGTTGCT